TAACAAAAAAAAAAAAAAAAAAAAAAAAAAAAACACCTGGTGCCTGTGCATGTATGCCCAAGATCCCAAGAGAACAGAAGAGAAAGGATTGCAATGTGGCCCACTTTGGAGATGATTTCTCACTTTTCTCACTTTTCCTCTCATTGTCTCTCTCAGTCTGTCTCTGGTGAATGCACAAACTCTGTGGCAAAAACCTTAAAACAAAAAAAAAAGGCAAGAAAGTAAATTCTAATCCTACCACTCCTCTGATCAAAAGCTTTTCAAGTGGGGACCAGCAGTTAGCATAATGGCTATGTTGCTGGACTCCCATGTAGTTGACCACAGTTCGAGTCCTGGACCTGGTGGTTTAAAACTCACGCTGGGCACATGTGTGTGCGTGCCCAAGATCCCGAGATGAGAATGGAGGAGAAAGGATTGTGACGTGGCCATCCCCGCCTAGGGGTGATTTCTTGCTTTCTGTCTCTCTGTCTCTCTGTCTTTCTGGTGAGTGTACGCACCCTATGGCAAAAAACCTCTCAAAAAAAAAAAAAAAAAAAAACTTTTCAAGTGGATCCCCATTATCCACAGAATAGTCAAAAGGCCAAATTCTGTAATCAGATGTTAGAAACCTTCTGTAGAATAGACTATCCTATTTTCCCAATCTTAATTCTTGTTATTCTCCTTCCTGTGTCCTACTATTTTCTCAAACATAATCATGCTTTCCTGTGCATACAGAATAAATTCTTGCCTATGTAACCTTTGGTCATGAGGTTCTTTCAGTCTGGAATTGCCAATACCTGTCTCATTTCTACATGATCTTGTCCTGTTTCCCCTTCAAGACCCAGATCAAATGTTACCCTCTTCTTGAAACTTGCTCACTTCTCATAGCCTGAAGCAATCTCCCCCTTCTTGCAAAAATACAAAACTTTTCTCTGTCTTTTATAGCACCTGTCGTTTTCTAATACTCTAAGTAATTGCTCTTCTCTGCTACGCATGCCAAAAAGTTTAAGTGGTTTCCTTAAGTAACAGTCAGTCTACACTGGAAACTCCAACTCTTCCTTTAGCTTGTAGATCTATTTAATATGAGCAAAATCATTACACCTTTTAGGGCAGCATTGTGTGTTGCTTTGTGTTCTGCTCCATTTCATTGCTAATAATGGAAAATACCTGTGTCCAGATAATTTAGGGTAATATTTAGTCAGCTCACTGGAGGTCTAAGGTCCAGGGACCCCCTCAGATTGGGGTCTTCTTCCTGCATCACTCCATGGCTTAGGGCAGGAGGTCATGGTCTATGGTCCACGTGTCTCTCCTCGTCTCATTCCCTCTCTTTATAAACCCACCAGTAGTCAATCATGGGGCATACCCTAACCATTTAATCACTCCCCAAAGCCCCATTTATCCATACCATGAAGGATTAAGTTTTGTTTGGAGAGGTTTTTGCTATAGGGCATGTGCGCTTGCCAGAAAGACAGAGAGAAACAGAGAGACAGAAAGCAAGAAATGATTCCCCAGGGGGAATGGCCACACCACAATCCCTTCTCTTCCATTTTCCTCTCAGAATCTTGGGCACACACGCACACACACCTGGCGTGAGTTTAAGCCACCAGGTCTGGGACTCAAACTGCAGTCAACTACATGGTAGTCCAGTGACAGCCATAATGCCAACTGCTGGTCCCAAGGATTAAGAATCTTTATGGTACCTTTGCAAACAAATCCCAACATATGAAGTTTTGGGAGACACAAATCATAGCATCTAGGTTTCAGAATAATTTTTTCATAGATATAATCTGTGGATAAATCAGGAACTGGGTCTTTGGAAGCATTTTAATTCCAGAAATACCCAACTGAACAAATACTTTATGATTTTGCCTGACGTAGAAGCTATGAACAGGACAGTCTGCTCTGCTAAATGATGCACCTGTGTTAAAGCCCACTCTGCACCTTGACTGTCTGCTACGTTTGTAGTGAGGGCTGAGAAAGGCTGCCATCATTTACATTTCTCACCAAGATCCAAGTACAAAATCTTGGTTTTGTTTTTGTTTTGTTTTGTTTTTTAAAGAGAGAGAGAGAGATTTTTACTATAGGGCCCATGAACTTGCCAGAGAGACAGAAAGCAAGAAATCACTTCCCAGGAAGGATGGCCACACTACAGTTCGTTCTCCTCCATTCTCTTCTCAGGATTTTGGGCACACAGGCACACACACACACACACACATGCCTGACATGAGTTTTAAGCTTATAGATCTGGGACTCGAACCACCGTTGACTACATGGGAGTCCAGTAACATAACCATTATGCCATCTGCTGGTCCCTTCAAGTACAAAATCTTAGAAAACAGTTCCTTTACTGTTAGCAGATAAATAAATGGAATGAGACAAATATAAAAAAGGCCAATGCCAGAAAAATTCAACTCTGGACCAGCAATAACCCATATTTATGTAGAATATAAACTTGATGAGCATTACTTTAGATACTCATTGAATTCCTATTCCTACTAAGGCTATTTTGAGTTTAATTCATTCTATTTCTTTTGAAGTTGTCCATAGGCTTTTCTTCCTCTTATACTCTGCTTACAACATTTCTGAGGTATCTACTTAGACTGTGGTGTGGACAAAGTTAAATCTTACATTCTGAGGATTTTGTTCTGTATATTTTTGACAGTGGACTATTTAATCATTTTGAGATTGTTCTTTGTCTCTCTCTTGTATTTTTATTCTGAATTACAAAAATTGTATTTCAAAGTGGGTTTTTTTTTTCTTCCCATAGAGATCTCCTTTTTTGACTTTCCTTTTATTTGGAAAAGAAAAACTCAAATACAGTGTGAATTAATACAAACTGGACTGTAATGTCCGAAACCTTTCAGTCTCTTTCTATCAGACTATTTAAGTAAAAGATTTGTCAGGAGCCAATTTTCTGGAGATGTCGGATAAATTCTTCATAAATTTAATTTTCAATCTGACAGTGTTCATAAGAGCAGAACATTAAAGTAAAACATATTCACATTTTCCATTAGTTTTACTATGGCAAATACTTGGTTTTGTATAAAATTGGGTTTTTCAAGGCTAGGGAAAGTTTTCATAGCTCACATCAGCAGTTCCAAAATGTACATAGAACCAAATGTGGTTGATTACCTTGTCTAGGCAGCCATGTGTGAATGAGAGAAGGGCAGCAGCAGGGTCGGTGGTGGAAGCGGAGAGGAAAATGAGAGGAGATGCCGAGGCATGTGGAGCACCACTCGTGGGAGCCCACTGACGCTCAGAGAGTGATCCGGTCATGTTTACAAAACTGTGGCAGAAAATAGGAGCCATGTTCTGTCTAAAATCCTCCAGATAAAGTTAATATCTATTCTGTTTGGTCTGCATGGTGAGGTGTCTTTGCTTTAATGCAGGGCCTCAGCACGGATGTGGCGGTTATCTGACAGGCTCCAATCGTACCTTTGTCTCCCCTGATTCTGACTCAAATGGAAGATATGACAAGAGTTTAAACTGCATCTGGTACATAACTGCACCTGTAAACAAGCTAGTGAAGCTCACCTTCAATACCTTCGCTCTGGAGTCAGCAACTTCTTTGGGAAGATGCATTTATGATTATGTGAAGGTAAGACTATTACGTTCCCTAACAGATTCTCCTACTCTGAGATTTTACTATAGTGTATTCCAGTTTATACCATATAGAACGTCCTGAAACTTGTGCGTACTACCACTTTTTAAAATGATCATTCATCAGGGCCAGCATGTAGCGTGGTGGTTAAGGTGCTGGACACTCCCACATGACTGACCAGGGTTTGAGTCCCAGACCTGGTTACTTGCCTTCTCACATTCCTTTTCTCTCTCTCTCTGTCTCTCTCTGGTCAAATTAACATAAATTAATGAATAAATAAAATAAATAATTATTTAAAAAATTAGAAATAAATAAATAAATAAAATGATCATTAGTGATGGAATGTATAATGTTGTAATATTCTGCCCTCATATCAAATCTATCCTTAATATGGATAACTCAAAAATGTTGTATGGCTTCTAATGTTAGCTTTTGATTCCTTAATCATTAGTGCCCTGTCAGAAGATCATCTGTGAGTAGACTGGTTTTAGAGAGGTATTCAAAGGACATTTGGCAAGTCCTAAAATAAATGACAATATCTATGATGTAAATAACCACTTCTTGATTTGTCAGTTTCTTTAGTTTATAGATTTACTTCTCATATTGCCTTTAGTTATGAACAAATTATTCATTCTGAGATTCTATTAAAAGTAAATTATGGGGAACAGCAGATGGCACAACAGTTACTTTATGGATTCCCGCATGGTTGACCACAGTTTGAGTCCCGGAGCCGGTGGCTTGAAACACACTGGGTACATGTGTGAGTATGCCCAAGATCCTGGAAGAATGGAGAAGGGATCGCAGTGTAGCCATTCCTTCTGGGGGTTGATTTCTCATTTTCCCTCTCACTGTCTCTCTCTTTCTCTGATGAACACATGTGCCTTAAGGCAAAAACTCTCTAAGACAGAAACAAAAGAAAGAAAGAAAGAAAGAAAGAAAGAAAGAAAGAAAGAAAGAAAGAAAGAAAGAAAGAAAGAAAGAAAAAAGACAGACCAGACCAGCAGTTGGCATAATGGCTATGTTGCTGGACTCCCATGTAGTCAACTGCAGTTCAAATCCTGGACCTGGTGGCTTAAACTCACTCTGGGCGCATGTGCATGTATGCCCAAAATCCTAAGAGGCGAATGGGGGAGAAGGGATTGTGGCATGGCCATCCCCCTGGAGGGTGATTTCTTGCTTCCTGTCTCTCTGTCTCTCTCTGTCTTTCTGGCAAGCAAACATGCCCTATAGAAAAAACCCCCCCAAAAAAAAAAAAAAAGAAAGAAAGAAAAGAAAAAGAAAGGAAGGGAGAGGAAGAAACAAAAGAAGAAAGAAACGTTGTGTTTAATTCTTATTTTTAAAGTTTTTGCTACATGGTACATGTGCTTGCTAGAAACAGAGATGGAGAGAGGGAAAGTGAGCAGTCACTCCCTAGAAGAATGGCCACACCAGAGTCCATTCTCCTCTGTTCCCTTCTCGGGCTTTTAGGCATGTATGTACCTGCACCCAGTGTGCTTTTCAAGCCGCCAAATCCAGGACTTGAACCGTAAGGTACTGCATATGGGATCCAGAGCTTTAACTACCACGCACCCTACTGGAACACTTTCTGTTTAATTTTTAATGAGTTTTCAATATTAAATGATTGTATCTATTAGACTATATGAATTTGGATTACAAGTGTTATGTAGCCTCTATCAATATTTACTTCTCACTCTTGGAGAGAAAATAACAAATATGGCAAGATTTCTGTCTGCAAGAAGCTGAAGTCTGATTGGCAGATTAAATGATGATATCTGCAAATCCTCAGTGAACAGTTCAGGATAGTAAATATTTAAATGCTAAATAATGCATTAGAGATAGGCCTGTGTGTAAATTCTAAATGTGAGGAGTTTAAAAAGGAGGAAAAATACTGATAATCTGATGTGATCAAGAAAGGCTTCATAGAATGAGAGAAACTAATTCAATTCAGGAGAAAATTCTAGGGAAGATGAACATTAAAAAAATAGAATTTGGAATGTGCATATTTCTGAAAGAATAAGGAAGCTAGCTTTATTAAAGCAGAATATTACTAAAGAATAGCAAGAAATAAGTTACCCAAGTAGAGAAATACCCAAATTACAAAAAAATCTTGAAATTCAGACTAACAAATTTGGATTTTATTTAGCTGAAAATAAGGAGCAATTGTGAGTTTTCCAATGGGTGTGTAGTGAGAGCAGTATTTGAGAAAGACTAACCTGGAGAGTGAATTGGAGGAGAGGAGTCTGGGAGGCCTCCAGGGAGATGTCACTCAATGAGGGGGGCCTGAACAGGGTGATATGCCATGGTGGAGAATGCAAGGTTGGTGTAAGAGAAACTTTTAGATTCCAAAATTGTTTTAAATTTTAAAGAAATTGATTTTCAAATAAAGAGAAGGTAAAACCATAACTGAAATACACATTCGAGCAGTTAATTGTATATTGTCTTACATTTTTACTGGGTGAAACACAAATTCTAGGAGACTAGAAAAATGTCCGTACTATTAGCAGGAGACTATGTTTTGGTGATAGCAAGACAGGAAAGTGGTATGCAGTGGGCGAGGATTGGGACAGAGCTCCAGGAAGGACACAAGTCCGTGGATAGAGAGGAGACAGTAGCAAGCATGACTGAAGTCCAGAGATACGATGCTTTCCTAGAAGAGAGCATGGAGTTGGACAGCCATGCTCTCACTCACCTCCTTGACAGTGACCCAGGCAAGCAGTGGGAGAGAGCAAAAGAGGCAGGGAAAGAAACCAAATGGTCCATGAGAAAAAAACGTGAAAACTGGGGAGAGCGCAACATCACTGAATTCAGAGAAGATCATTTTACACAGGATAAGTGGTCAGTACCACCAAAGGGCAAACTAGATGCCAAGAAAGGTTAAGATGAACACACTCATTTCATTGGATGACAACCATCTCAATAATTGGATGACATCCATCTGTGGTGGAACAGAAGCCACATCAGAGGGTGTCCAATGAAGGACCGGAGATAACCAAGAAGGTCAATTTGGGTCAAATTGTTTTGTGCTAAAATGAGCCCAGAGTAGCCATATCAGTCATAAAGACAATGTTCAAGACTATTCACAATCTGCCCTGGTTTACAGAAAGGTAATAAGCCTTAGAAACAGACAATATGAGGAATCCAGCCCAGTTTTGTCACAGACAAATTTTCTAATCTCTCCGATTCCTCATCACTTCATCCATTAAAAAAAAAGTACATAACTTGCACACAAAGCTGTTTTGAGAATGAAAATAATGCAGACTAGAGTGTTTAGCAGCATGCCTCACATATATTTTGTAAACAAATTTGCTTCCCTTTTTTCCCCCTTGGAGTAATTCCAAATAGGCATAGAATTGCTATTAAATTAATTGATTTACATATATATTACTGTACACTTAATTCACCTAGGAAGTTTTGGATGTGGTCCTGGTCAAAGCAAGGTTGATTGGATTTACTATCATGATCCATTTCTATGAGAGTGATTTGATGAGTCGTTAAAGCAGCTTATAATTGTTTGAATATATTTTAGTCACTTAAGGATAGAAACAGCACTGGGACAGAAACTGGGACAGGAACAGCAATATCAAAAACAAAGCATTATTTTCTAGTTTCAAAACAAAACATCCTGTCTTTTTCAAAAAAAAAAAAATATATATATATATATGCTCAGATCTACTCTTGTTTTCTCTCTTGGGAAAATAATTTCCCTCAATTGGCAACTTTTCTAACTTTTAGTAAATTGGTGATCCTTGGAATGAGAAGCATGAAGGCATCCTTATTAAAGAGATTCTCAGTGATAAATGGGACATTTGATTCCTTTTACATGATTTCTTAGATAGTATAATCAAACACTTTTTAGAAAAGCTTGTTTAATTAAACTCTGTAGTAGATAGACAAGTAAAGTAATGCTAATTCCATTATTCATTCATAATTCCATTACTTTTGTTTTTGAAAGAATTGACTCAGAGAACAATTAAGATAACTGCATTACATGATAAATTGTGTATTTCTCTGCGCAACTGCCATCAAAATCACCTTCACGTTCATTCCATACAGAGTAGTTTGGCGTGATGATGTGTCAGGCACTGTACCCAGCGCTGGAGACGGGGAGTGAAAGACTCACCCTGAGGAGTTAGAGCTCCTCAAGGAGCTGCTGGTGAAGTGGAGGAGATGGACATGTAAGCAAAGAAATTATTACATGGCATGACCAAACGAGACATGTCAAGTAGGGCAGAAGAGGGTCTTGGGATGTCATTGTGGGAGTCAAAAAAGGCTTCCTGGATGTGACGGCAGAGCTGGGAGTTACTAAATAAATGCAAGTGCACTCCCCTTTGTCACGTTTCATGCAACCGAGAAGAACATCACAAATGTGTGCTTCCTAGCCAGGGGTGGTAGCTCACGTTTGTAATCCCAGCTACTCAGGAGGCTGAGGATGGAAGACCATGAGTCCAAGGCCAGGCTGGGAAATATAGGGAAGTGCAACAAAATCCTGTCTCTGAAAAAGAGAGCATGCTGGGCCAGCAGATGGCATGGCAGTTAAGGCACTGGACTCCCACATGGCCTACCACAGTTCAAGTCCAGGACCTGCTGGCTTGAAAATCAAACCAGATGTGTGTGCATACATGCCCAAAATCCCAAGAGGAGAATGGAGAAGGAATTATGGCATTGTTATTCCCAATGAGGAATGATTTCTCATTTTTCCTCTCTCTTTCTCTATCTATCTGTCTCTCTCTGGCAAGTGTACCAGCCCTATGGCAAAAACTTGAAAAAAAAAAAAAAGAAAAAGGTGTACCGAGAACAGCAGCCACCCAAATGAAAGAAAGACGGAGGGGTTGCAAGCTCCTTGCCTCATGTCCTTGGTGAACATGGATGAAGTGGCCTGGAAGGATTAGGAGTGGGACCCTGACTGCTATTCCTCTGCCAAGAAATAGCTCTTTTTTAACGTTTCACAGGACTTCAGTCCAATCAGTGCCCCTTTTCTTTCTTTCTTTTTTAAAAAA